AAAAAAGAAATCCTATAGTGGTCTTATAGGAACAAAAAAGAAATCCTATAGTGGTCTTATAGGAACAACAAAGAAATCCTATAGTGGTCTTATAGGAACAAAAAAGAAATCCTATAGCAGTCTTATAGGAACAAAAAAGAAATCCTATAGTGGTCTTATAGGAACAAAAAAGAAATCCTATAGTATTATAGGAACAACAAAGAAATCCTATAGTGGTCTTATAGGAACAATAAAGAAATCCTATAGTGATCTTATAGGAACAACAAAGAAATCCTATAGCAGTTTTATGAGAACAACAAAGAAATCCTATAGCAGTCTTATAGGAACAAAAAAGAAATCCTATAGTGGTCTTATAGGAACAACAAAGAAATCCTATAGTGGTCTTATAGGAACAACAAAGAAATCCTATAGTAGTCTTATAGGAACAACAAAGAAATCCTATAGTGGTCTTATAGGAACACTGATGGAATTCTACAGCAGTGTTATAAGAATACTGAAGGAATCCAATAGTTGCTTATGCTTATGAGAATACTAACAAATTCAAATAGCATCCTTGTAGGAATAATTATAAGAGTATTCTTATAGTGAGTGTTTTAGACACAAAATATAAATAGGGCCAACTGTATCTACTATATTGTTCTATCTGACAAACTAAAAATCATACATTAAAATCAAATGTGAATTTTTTTTAAACTCCTATCGGACAGTCTCAATGGATAACTGAAAATTATCATTTTTGCGGAGAAATTGCACTTCCAGATGATGAAAAATATTATTACATTATTGGGAAATACACAATTACAATACATACTATAAATTTTATATTAGTGTAAAAAGTCACTCACTGTGAACAAAGTTTGGAAGGTATATACCAGTATGTACTTAATACTAAAATTTCTATTATACTTAAACATAATACTCCCAGATGAAAGAGCTTGGAAAATGTAAGAACATGCAGTTTACAGATTTTTCATTCTCTAGATATTCAACTTTAAATTAATATATGTAGTCCACCATCTTGATTCTTCAGCAATGGATTATGGGTAAAGTATGACATCATATCCACTGTTGTCTGAAATTGAGAAAATGATTTCGTGAATTGCATTCTCCAACATTTGTGAAGCTCTTTTTTGAGGGAGCATTGTGTTTGGCTTAACTTCCCCTTTAAGCAATCATGGTAAGATTATGAAAATAGGACTGTACAATTTACACTCACAGTGTCAGCTGGCCCACAAGTGTGATAATTACTACATGGGGTCACTATGAAACTAACTAAATAAATAGACAACTAGCAATTATCGCATTTATTTTATTATCACTTGTGAGCCAACTGACTGTGTTTTTGAGCTATTAAGTTGAGTTTTGTTACCAATGAAAGACACAATCTAAAACTTTTAAAATTCCTATAATTAAAAAATAAAATTCAGTAATACTTAAGAAAATTCTTATAGGAATACTTTGAAATCCTGTAGGACATTTTCGTAAGGTAAATTTATCCCCGAGGGGAATTTTTGTATTTCGGCTGTATGGAAAGGATTGGGATTTAAATATCCTAGCGCACATACATTTTATGTTTCCATTGTTGTACCCCTTCTGTATTCTACACTATCCCCACTTGGCCGTACCAATGTGAAATTATTAAACAGTGCGCCCTCTAAAGTCAATTGTCGATAATCCATAATATTGAAATGTCCTAATTTCGGAAAATAACTTGTCAACCAGAACATGTGGCGTACTATTATATAATCGAAGATGATGACGAATATAATATTGCTGACCCGGATGTGTAGTGCATAAATTTACAATTTGATTTTCCTGCTCAGTTTTTTGACCGTGTTTTGCCCTCCCGAGTACACCGATATTTCAAACCAAGTATGCATTTACAGCCGAATGACATTCGTGTTTGAATATTTTTTTGTAAGAACTCGCGCGTAAAATAATTAATTTAACAATTTAAATAAGTACTCACTGCACTTTTTTTTAAATAAAAATATCCTGTTGGATACAACATCCGTTTCGAACGGTTTCGCCGAAGCCGACCATCCAGGGGCGAAGGATAACAAACCTTGACTGGTGGAGATATGTTTGATAAGACAACACGCAATTTCCACAATGTGAAACGTAAATAATTCTTTACTGTCAAATTATTTAAGTTTTTATTGATTTTTTTTTTATTTTAAGGCATCAAAGAACCACGCACTTTTTGCAGTCTTTGCCGAAAACTTAAATCACGTGGTCTGTCAATTACGTCATCGCGCTTATACGCCAATATTATTCCAATCAATCATTCAATTAATCAACGTACTAGCAGTTGTTCATATCGCGCCAGTATTCAGTAGGAAGTATTGTAACAATGTACTAGCAATTCGTGTTATGAAATGTACACCAGAATATAAAGCAATATACTAATATGTTATTCAAATGAAAATAAATATACATAATGTCACGACAACAAACACTCTATTCTCTATTATCTATATATAGGTCAATGTGACCTTGTAATACTTCACACCATCCCATCCCATGTTTTATGTTTTAATAAAAAAAAAGAGATCATAGACGAACATAAACGGACGGAGAGAGGGATTTACGAACCGGACGTTGGGGGGTTGAAAAGCCATTTTACTATGATATTGTTATGCATATCAACACGTTATTAATAAACCGATGTTTTTGCTCGAATATGCGCTTGTAAGTGTGATTTTACCCTGAATTCAGTCCAAATACGTACACGAGAACAAAATACACGTATAACGAGGGCGCTGTTCAACAAAACGGGAATCTTTCACGCACGCTGGGTTCTCCCTCAATGCCCAGGCTGTCGGCGTTTTAAAAAAAAGTAAACCACATAAATTATTCAAATAGTCGGAGTGCGCGAGCCAAGTGGTATGGAGAACGAGTCGGGTGTGTTTACCGGATGACGTGCATCGTTGTTTTACAGTCACAACCGTCATCGCATCACAAATTAAGGATTTTATCTGTTGACTTGATTAATCGGACGCTGGGATGCGATAAATAACATCACGCTTGGCCATGGGTACTGTTCATATTACTCTTTTCATTCTATCCACTATGCTGTTCGCCAATTGTCTGTTCACAGAGCAACCCTCAGATGGAGTGCCCCCCGATGAAGTAAAAATCGGTAGGTATCCATATCACATTTGTTTATTTATTTATTCGTATATTTATTTATTTATTTATTTATACATCCATATTTTATCAATTTATCATGAGTCAGCGCCGAA